TTCGGAATTGTGCAGACCTTTACCTGTTTCATGATCAGCATATCAGTACGTGGCATATATCCACGTTGATGAATCCATTCTTTTGATACACTGAGATCTTCATTTTTAGCTTTATATGGTAAATCTCTGTCTAGTGTCCTGCCTACAACAGGCAAGTAAACAGCTGCTGTCTCTACAATATCTTATAAAATAGAGAGAGAAAGCATGTGCATATCAGCCTGCTGCACCTTCCTAGTTAACACGTAAAACTTATGGATTCTTGGAAGATTTGAAGTTATCAATTGGGAACAAACTATAAAAGGATATTTATTCCATAGTTCTATTTTTTACCTTGCACAGTATCTTTGTGTAGCGAATGAGAAAGAGGGAGATAATATGAATGAGTTCATGAATTCATGAATGAATGATTATGCTGGGTTGTTTTATATGAAGGAAATGGTTTGGAAGAAAAAGTCAGTTGTTTTTTTTTTAAGATGAATGACTTTTATAATTAACCTATATAACATTTGAATATTTCAAGGTAGATGTATAATTTCAATCTAAATTTGCTTGATATTTAGAAATCTCACTTCTGCCTTGGAAAAATAGGGAGAAAGAAGGGGTAGTAGGATATGTACGGAACTCTGCCACCAATACTGCCATAGCTGCTTTTCCCATTCCACCATGTTAGTGGGTGTAAAAAACTACTGTTGTGCTCTTTTGAGTCTTTAAATGCCATATCTTCCACAAATTGAATAATCTTCGGTATACTAGGTGTACTGTCTCCCCTGCCCTCTCGCTTCTCTTCTCTTCTCTCTCTTTCTTTCTCTCATCAAGACTGAGGTGCCTCTGCAAAAACTGTGTGGGCAAACCTACAAGACTGCCTTTTCCCAGCTAGCCAGAATTGTAAATCTTGAATCTGCAGGAGCCATGGGTCCTACGTAAGGAATACAAAGAGAGGGGTGGAAGAATCACAAATTACATCCAATTACCTATGAAAGTATTTTGTTTCCCTTACACAGCCTCCTTTTTTGTTGATGGAGTGGGTGGGCAAACCGTGGGAGGATTTTGTAGAGGGATGCGGAAATCCAGTAAAATGACAAGCTTTGGGAGTAGAGTGAGTGGGAGAAGGAATGCAGTGAACTCTCGTTAGACTTGGATTTGGGTGTAATTATTAATGAGCTAAACTGCAAGGACCTGAAATGCATTCTAATGTGTTTTATAAAAAGAGCAATATTAAAGACAAGAGTTATCACTATTCTACACTTCTGCCTTGTTAGTGGGAGGAGATTAACGATGGACTCTATATGGGGTTGTATCTCTTTTTGTCACCTCTGAGTCAGTAGCACCAAGACCACCTGAAACTATGAGCCAAGCAAGGCACTGGCAGTTTCACTGGGCAGTCTACTAATCTCAGAAGTATCGCATTGCAGATCAGTAGTATATGAAAAGGTTTCTTTTTCAAATGTAATGCTGACAGCCAAGAGGAGCAATAAAAGTGTGTGTGTGTGAGTGTGCGTGTTTGTGTGTTTGTGTTGAGGGTGGAGAATTTTGCAGCCTTGCCCTCCTATGGACTAGCAGCACAAAAGTATCTTAAAAATTGCAGAGAGGGAAGGAAAACTGATGCACAGTTCCAGGCTTAAAAGGCTCAGTGGGTGTATTGAGACCTACAGGGAAATTGAAGGGGTGGTTGCGGAGAAAGAGGCTTAGAGTTAACGTCAGGACTGGGTAGGGTGGGAGAAATGGAAAGCGAGGGCGTATGCCGCCCACGCTGCTTCCAACCAAGCAAGGTTGAGAAGAAAGAGTATGGGATTTCTTTCTCTCCCTGAAGATCAAAAGAACAGAAGCATTGCAATCTGGCGTTCGCGTAGGAGCAGTGTTGGTGGAGGGGAAGAAAGTGCCTGTGGGACTGGGAACATCTGCTCTGAGAAATTGCTTTAAGACTGGCCAAGTTGCAAGGAAGCTGTGTGAGTGCTTGTTTTCATAGAGCAGACCACAACCAGCAATGGGGCGGAAGGAATGTTTGGCTGGAGGAAGCTCTGTATCCCCTGCTTACCCTTCTCTGAAGTCTTTCATGTATTTTATACTGCTTACCATTACAGGAGGGGTTTTTTTTACTCCCCCTTTTGGATTAGGTTATTATTGTTATCATTTATTTATGTGGCATCATCAATGTGCATGGTATTTTACAGTAAAACAACCAAAATCAATGGGTCTTGCCAAAGGCCTAAAATCTAATATGTATGTATATTTTAGGTGGAACCCTGTTCATTGTTACTCATAGTTAGAGCTTGCCATATATATAGAGGGGGGGGGGACCAGGGCATTCTTGTGGGATCCCTTGTGGCCCTGGTCCCTGACTCTCTGAATTTTATTGAACACTAGACTTGTGCAATTTGGCTGGAGGGTGATCCATTTTTGGTATACAAATTTCGTTGGGTGCTTTCCAAGAAGTAGGCTAATGGAAAAATCTGTTTTCGACTAGGCAGCCAAAAGATCCGGGAAGATCTAGCCAATTGGCGGCAGTGGGGAATTTACAAGGCTCCCCTTTCCGTTCCTGGGATACTTTCCTTTCTTCCTCTCAAGGGAGCTTGCAGTGGGGTTAAGGAAGCACCCTTCCTGGGACCCTTTCCTTTCTTCCCTTCAAGGAAGCCTGGGTTTCAGCAATGGCATTAAGGAAGAAAACACAGCTTGCGCAAGACATGTCACGATGTTCTTCTATTGCCATTGGCCCAACTGGTAGAGCTCACAGGGAAACCTCATGCGAGGAGCACGCAGCAGCCTCTTTGCGTGCCCCGTGATGTTGAATAGGGAAGGAGGAGCTGTGATCGTCTGCCACTTAGTTTCATAACGGATGAAAAAAATGTGATGGCTGGGTGTTTGTGATTATGGGCATCCGCCCAAGCCAGATTGGCCTAAGGGAAACAACCACTCTGAATCCGTGCACAAGCCTATTGGACACCCCACCATATTACAAATGTTCAGTGGAATATGTATGTTTTCTTAAAGGATCAGATAATAACTCCACAAAACGGCTCAGGATCTCAAAAAATCTCTTTCAGGTCAATAAACATTTTGACAGTAAGGACCCAAAATTGAACATCTAATGCATCTTTGAGGAGATAGGGATATGTAGACAGGTTTAAGGCTCTGGAGAATCTCACTTTACATTTTCTTTCTAAAGCATCATCCTACATTTTGACTTTTTTGTGTTGGAAAGACTTGATAAAAAAGCCAGATATAAAATAATTTAATAACAGCAGCTAGAGAATTAACTCATTTTTCTTATCAGTTTGTGAAATGTATCTAGCCAGTTTCCTGGCCCTTTCTCCCTTGGGTTTCTAGGAAACACCCGCAAGACTTTCCCTTTCTGCTCCTTCACTTATGTTCCCCTCAGGTTCTGGTTTCTCCCCAGCATTACTTTGTCTGTTCTCCTTTTAATGATGCTACATTTATCTCTTGTGATCTATTCTCAAACTTTCGTCGGCTGCTGTTTTCCCAAGCGGTTTTAATCCCATCTAAATGGACTTCTTTCCCTTCTCTTCCAAAAGATAGGACTGCATACAGCCTGATACCTTTGTTCTCATTTGGGAACATTTTGTACCTTAATACCAGCTGATGTCAGAGGCTTTCTGTAGACTCAGTACTGAATAAATAGCCTGGTTAATGCAGTTGGTGTAGATGCACTTGAGACATAAGATTTTAATTAGAAGAGAATGATAGGACTCAGACATACCAGTGGGCAAGCAGTGAATGTTTTCAGTTCTTGGAGTTTGATAATACCAGTATTTTATTTTATTCTTTTCTAGCCTCTCTTGTGTTTTCAGAAGTGGTTTATTTAGCCCATCTTTCTCACATTCATAATCTCTGATAATGCATTTGCATTGCCTTTGTTATCCCATCCTATCTTTCTGGGAATTTAGGGAGACATACATAGCAGGTCTCCTATTTCAGTCTTGTAACAGTGAGGTATAAAGGTGGGATAATCCAGTCATCTTCACAGTTGAGCATCATTTGCACTATTACTATGTCATATTGGTTCTCCTCAGTTACCAGTAGTTCATATTTTGTGAAACTATTGTTTGTAGCCTCATTGGCATTTGACCGTTTAAATCTAGTCTTCCTAAATTTGAAATTATTGAGATTTTTCCTTGAAGCTTCTTGCCAAATGTGGACACTGTACAGAGGGAGAGAGCTAGAGCAATTAACAATGATTTCTGGTCAGATTTATTTTTGTGACAATTTTAAACCATTCTCAAAACCTGACTTTTGGTGTCAGTTTGTCATTTAAAGAACAGTATAGTGCTCTGTGTGCTTCATAGTGTTATGCATTTTGTTCTACATTTTGGTACTTCCAAAACACAATAGCTGCTTGAGGAAAATGATTTGTTGGTGTGGAAACATTGTTTTCATCTTATCTTCAGTCCTCATGTATTAGTTTGTTGAAAACAACCTTTAGGAATATGCAAATTTGAAATTACTTTTCTTTTTAAATGATTTCTCTAGAATAGCTTGTATTTCCAAATGTTTGGGTCTTTATTAATCCTTCCTTTATTCTAAAGCTGCTGAATTTTAGGTCCCCTCTATTGAAAAAGTATTTTTCTAGCTATGGTTCCCTGAGGACTGTTTTTGTGACACCCAGAGCCTTGGAGGTCAAAAAATGAGATAAAAATTAGCTCCATATGCCATCAAGGGCTTATGGGGGAGAGTATTTTCTCCCACCTTGATTACATTGCATTCAAGATCACTTCCTGTTGTTGAAAATGTCCTGTCTTGGCACAGGAAGATCTAAAAACATGGCGGGAAATGCCCCACACATCCTCTGAAGAAGTTTAATGACCAGTTTATTTTTTAGTAGGGCATGACAGAAGTGCAGCCTTCCAAGTACTCCAGAGGAAAGGGATTTTGCTTCCCTATTCTGCCCACCACCATTAGTTATAACAGTGATGATTTAAGATTTTTTAAAATTATTCCTTATATAGTAATAGTCCATTTTCTCCCCCTTGGATTTTCTTTCACAGGATGGCTTTCCTGATTTTCAGGATGCGGTCCAGAGTTTCTATCACCAGGATTCAGTCAAACTTCAGCAAGCATTGTCCAAAGGGAAGTGTGAAGACCTGACTGCACTTGCTTCACAGGTAAATGAACTTCATATCACAATACAAGACTTCTTTTTCCCTTTTGTGTTTGTTCCAAGACCACTAAATCTCTCTCTCCTTATGGTATATTCTGTCTTGATCCTGTAATCTGGCTGTGATAGTATTACTTTAAATGTAGACAACTGACTTATGGCCTGGTTATTGTTATTTTAAAAATACAGCTTTCCTTTCATTCAGGGTAGGCAAAAGGAGGTTTTAACTGCAGGAAATAGTGTCCAGTATGACGCAAGGAAAATGTGTCAGCGCCAAGTGCCTCTTGTTGCACTACATTTGGTAGCGGTAAAAAAGGAAATAAAAATGGCTTTGGAGATGCACATTTTAATTTTTTAAAAAACCCAAATCAATGTGTTCTTTTAAAAACTGGTATTCCAATACAAACACCTTCTTGATATTGAGTAAATGAGGAGTTTTACAACTTTTGGTAAAGCCCATATGGACAAATAAATGATGCTAAAGTTTGAATATAATTTTCATTAAAATGAAAAGAGAAGATAAATGATGTTGAAGTTTGAATATCATCTTCATTAAAATGGAAAGTGAAAAAACATTTGAAATGTGGGCTGACAGATTTCTTCTAAATGCACTACAGACAAGCCTTCAAGACCCACCAGACTGACCTCTTGCTCCACACTTATTCTGTCTTTTTTGGATATCACCAAATGAACAGCAGTTCAGAAATCCACTCACCATACTTACCATCAGCAAATATTCTGTTAATAAAAATGGCAAGATGAGCCAAATGATAGCAAACACCTATTCTGAGGCTGGGGTTGACTTTAGGTAAATCAGCAAATATCCTTTTACAGCTGGCTTTTTGTTGCTTATTCGTTCAGTCGCTTCTGACTCTTCGTGACTTCATGGACCAACCCACACCAGAGCTTTCTGTAGGCCGTCACCACCCCCAGCTCCTTCAGAGTCAAGCCAGTCACTTCAAGGATACCATCCATCTATCTTGCCCTTGGTCGGCCCCTCTTCCTTTTTCCTTCCATTTTCCCCAGCATCATTGTCTTCTTTAAGCTTTCTTGTCTTCTCATGATGTGGCCAAAGTACTTTATCTTTACCTCTAATATCCTTCCATCCAATGAGCATTCGGGCTTTATTTCCTGAAGTATGGACTGGTTGGATCTTCTCACAGTCCACGGCATTCTCAGAATTTTCCTGGCAGTTATATGAAGATTTAGGATTTCTCAATATGTGCTGTATTGAGCAGCAGTTCACATAGTTCAATATTGTCTGTTTGGACTGGCCACACATATTCTTAGTCTCAGGTAGAGATCTTGCTTAGACTTTCTGCGTCTGATTCTTTTTCAACCCAAAGGTGAGAAAAGTATGGCTTGTATGTCACATAAATCCCCCAGTCAACTTTTGTGAACCCCCAGAAACTTCAGGTGTTGAAATTTCATGTCAAATCGCCATTTCAGATTTCAGCAATTACTAGAGGAAAATCCATTTAAAACGAATGCTTTATATCAGGAGTTCTCAATTTTATTCAGACACAGAGCCCTTTTTGAAGCAAAAGTTTTTGTGAAACCCCAATAAATATTTATATTATATTATATTATATTGAATTCATAGAGAGACAGACAGGCAGATCAGGCATGGACAAACTTTTTGACACATTGTGTTTTTGATGCCAGTGGCAGATGGATTAAGAGTGTTGAAAAAACTTGAACAAATTCATATGCATAATGCACATATCTCATTTGTAGTGCAAAAAAAGTGGGGGGGGGGGGAGAAGGAGGGAAGGAGAGGGAAAGACACAATATTTAACATGAAGAACATTTTTAACCAAAATAAACTTCACAGTATTTCAATGGAAGACCTCAGGGGCCATCCAGTGCCATCCCTTCCACCATGCAGGAAAAGCACAATCAAAGCACCCCCAACAGATGGCCACCCTTGTCTTTGTAACAACAACAACAACAATAGCAGAAACCCCAGGGGCCATCCTGTTCAACTCCCCTCTGCCATGCAGGAAAAGCACAACCAAGGCACCCCCTAAGCGGTGGGAGGGAAATAGGATTTTGAAAGCAAGAAAAGTGAGAGGAAAAGGATCTAGGCAGCAAGGAAGGTGAGGAAAAAAGGTTTTTGGGGTTGAGGGGGGAAGGGGGAGGAGCAGGAAAGAGGAAGAAAAGCTTGGAGGAGAAGGGGGGAGGAACTGTATTAAGGGGTCACGACATTAGGAAGGTTGAGAACCTCTGGTGTATAGTTCCAAAGCTATCTGATCATTAGTACATTCAGAACCAATAGCCAGTCAAGGAAAGGAACACACCATTCCCTAATTTCCCTAGATCTCCCTCTCTGTTAACAAAAAGATGCACCTTGAGTCCTGGCTGGTCTGATCATCTTAGGATAAATCAGGGACAGGGATTAGCGTCTCAGGAGCTAGTGAGCTTCATCATCCTCAAAATACAAAACCAGCTCCCTCTGCCAGCTTGTATGTATATGCACTCATAGAGGGCTGTTTAAAAAAACATTTGAAAGGTTTGAGACTGAGCAGACTGCCCCTCACGACTTATGCATCCAAACCCCTCTGGTGACCCAGTACAATACTGCCCTCAAACTCTTTGCATTAACTTGCCACTCAGCCATTTGTCTTTTCTCAGAATTGCTGCACATCTTAGACAACAGCCTAAGGTTAAGGACAAAGGCAAGGGTGCCATTATCACAGAGTTGTACTTTGGATCTTGGTACAAATGCCTAATTTTTGGGCTCACCCCAGGGTGTATGTGTGTGCCATTTATTGCAGTTCACAGCTAAATACATTTAGTTTCTTTGCTGCTCTGGGAGCCTTTTTAGTGTTAGCATGGAAGGAAAACACTAAATGAATAAAACTAAACTGCCTTCCCTAAAGTTGCAGTTGAAAGACATATTTTGCACATGCACAGCAATTCCCATGACAAGTGTTTCTTACTCCCTTCAGTAGGAGAGGTCGTGTTGACCTAATGTGGGTGTTCTCTCTCAGTCAATGTTGTTGCAGCTTTACCTTCATCTGCGTAGGCGAGTGAGGATTTTCATTTTGTGAGGAAGGGGGTGGGGTGGATATTCATCCAGTAGAACAAATAAGGTCTGTGGACGTTTTTCTTTCCAGCCTATGGGTACAGCTCCTCAGCTGGTGCCCTTTATTTGCCTCGTTTTCTACCCTTTGTCTCAATACTGTGTTAAGTAGAGACAAAATCTTAGAGGCATGAAAATGAATGCACAAGCTGGCATTGTAAGAGTTCTGTAACGTATTTTAGATGCTCAAACACTTCAGGCAACTAATGTTTGTCACAGATGTAATAATAGGTTCATTTTGCATTAGACAAAGATAAGTAGATCCATTGATTCTGGCTCCCTGGTAAGTATGTCTCAGTGATGTACAAATTTCCAAGAATGCCATTATCACATTCATGCTAAAAATGCCTTGGTACAGGTGCCATTTGAAGAAGTCCACATTCATTTTTGTACACAGGGTTGAGCAGCAAAAACAAACAATACACAAAACGGTGCTTGTTCACAGATATTGAAAATGAGATGTGTCCTTTTACTCCCCAGCAGTATACAGCCAATCCTCAAGTTATGAACAAGATAAGTTGTGTAGGTTTGTCCTTAAATAGAATTTATTTGTAAGTCGGAACAGGTACATTTTAAAGTATAACTCCTGTAAAAATATATAAACATTAGCTTTGGATAGCACAGGGAAGGGTTATTGCCCCTGTGGTGCTTATTTTGCTATCTGTGCTCCTGTTCAAAAGATTGCACCTCACTTTCTGTCCCGGTGATAATTGGGTTTTGAAAAAAAAATGGCTTGTTGTGGAAACAAGGATTGGTGATAAAGCTTCAATTCGCTTCACTTCACTTCACTTTATTTCTTAATTAGTCGCTCTCCACCAAGGTGCTCCGAGCGACGATAATTGAGATAACTTTCCCCCATGATAACTCTTCCAAGAGGGAATTTTCCTCTTGAGGGATAGATTTCTCTCATTTCCTGTTGTCTCACCCCTGTTCTTAACTAAGTCAGATGTTTGTAACCCAGAGACTGCCTGTATTTGCTTTTTACGATATGCCTCATTTAAGGAAACAGAAAATGTGTCATTTTCACCCTTTTGCAAATGCTGATGTATTACAGGCACAAAAAATACCATATTTGGATTCTTTTGTTGATAATTTATTATGTCCTCTAGCAAGTTGCCATGCCTTTCTAATTATCTTTCTTTTGTAGTGTAGAAGCGTGGCTCTTTTTCTATACAAAATCTGTACACTGTTATTTTCTCCATGTATACTGTCATCCTACACGTTTTAGAATGGCAGATTGTTATGATTTTTTTAAAATGATGGATAGTACTTTTCCAAAAATAAAACTTGAGTGAAACCTTGTCATAATGTTTCTGTTGTTTCAAGGGAAAAGCAGATGTTCTTGTTGCTCTTGAAATATTTGTGTTGTATATACAAATATTTCAACAGAACCAAAAGAGTTTAGGGATTTAGAGGAGGAGGGTTTTTATGTGTGGCCTTGGAGTTTCAATTCCAATTAAGGAATGATTCCAGGTAGTGGCCAAAACCAAACAGGAAGCATTAATTACTCCTATGAGGACATTTTGTATGCTAATAGGCATGTAAAGCATGAACTACTTAGGACTAGGACTGCAAAGTGCATTTCCATTCAGGCATTTCCCTAATTATATAGGTGATAACTTTCCTTTTTGTTTAAGATAATTTCATACTCTGTGACCACTGGAAATAACTCATCGCTTGTGGGTTAATCTGGCCTGTGACCAGATTTCTCCGTCTGGTTACTTTAGGAAGGTCATTGATTGCAATGTGTCATAAACACTCTCTCCTTCTTTTGAAAAATACTTACTGTACTGCACGAAGATATGGTTTGCATTTTTTTAAATAACCTGTTTAGGATGATCTTCTTTAATTGGGTCGAGAATGTTTCATGTCACTTTAAGTAATATTTGATGATTGGTAAACTTTTTATGAAAATATCGTTTTGTAAGCCAGTGAAGTTTAACTCCCAGACTTTGAAAAGGTCGCTCTGTTTCTTCTCTCCCATTTTTGTGTGTGCTTTCCCCAACAACCATATGAGCTATCTGTGATTTCTCTTTGCAGCCTGATCTACTTGCTTCTCCATATTTCCTGTCCAGGCCCCTTTTTACCATGTAGAGTCTAATGCACCATACACACTTAGCTTGTTACCTTTCTAACAAATGGATGTTTGGGACAGGTGGTAGAAGCCAAATTGGCAATATCTTCCAAGTGACAACAGTCCTCTCTTTTGCCTTGGCAGCTCTCACACTGATGAAGGGCCCTGGCCTCCCCCTTGAGGACTGATAATTCAAAGTGGTCTTGCCCTGTTCGCTAAAAAAACTATCTCCATTTATGTTAATGCCAAACTAAGAGTCAAGAAGAAATATATGTTTTTAACTACAGACTCCATATAGTACATTATTGTGTTTTGGAAAACAATTCCTGTGTCACAGTTGCTAATCCTTGATAGGTGCATACAGAGGTGAAATGGAGCAGGTGTGTCATTTTTTGGTTAAAGAGTGAGTGTTGCCCCCCACCATTATCTTCACTTCTACAGTGATATATGTAGCATATATTGTGAATTAAAATCTGACCTCTTCCTGTTTGCTGCTCCCACCCATCTGTTTGATGAAAGCTGTCCAGATTGCTGTTGTTTTCTTTAGATCCCTAGCATGTTAATCTCTTGGTTTAGGTTAGATGTATCATTTGTTTGTTTATTTTCTGATAATCCATGAATTGAGATAGAGAGAGAGATAGATAAAATATATTTATGCTTATTGACTGTAGCAAGTAAAAAAAAATCTTCAACTGTGATAAGTATATATCTCATTGCCTTACATCAATCCTTTCCCCATCTCAATCTAGATAGATTCAATATTCCCTCTCTAGACATTTCAGTACTAAACAGAATTTGCTCCCATTCTTCCTCTGTTTCAAATAACAAGAACATAACTGTTTCAATGTGGAAGGAGTGATCGCTTTGTAAGTGACACAAAGGCTGACCAGTCAGTGCTGTAAATATATGTGCTCTTTAAAAAGTAGAAAGGTAGTCTCATAACTGACAGAAAAATCACTGGCTAACATTGTGAGGTTGTCATTCCTGCCCAAACCCAATTATTTCTTTCTGAACCTAGTTTGAACAAAGCAACAATACAGTACAACCCCATAACTACATGAGATACATTCCAGAACTTCATGTGCATGCATAGAACCACTGATAATTGCCTGCTCTATTGAACTAAAGACTTCTGGCAGAAATATATCAAAGAGCTGCAATAGAGGACCTAGAAAGTGCATTGAGAGGACACCTGTGTAAGCATTGCTACATCCTCCAGCATCATGGTGTCAACTTCCAGCAGAAGCGTGCCATACTATCACATGGATGGCCTAGAAAGTGCCCAGAGAGGACATATTTTGTCATTCGTTGATAAATAATATCTAGAGTACAGGGGATATTACTAAACCTGTTCTTAGAGGGTCTCAGCCAAAGTTGTGCATGTCTATGTATAACCTTTGTTCATCTGGTCTGAGACAAAATAGTACAAGATGGCAGTGTTTCAGCTTCGTATTTAGAATTATAATCCCAGCTTTTTGTCTCCTGTATTATTTTTTGAGAGGAAGTGACCACACCTGCATGTTGTGTTCACATAGTGGTGTTTACCAAATTCTCATGCAGATGTGTATTACACATATTTGTTAAGAGAAACAGAGGTTGTCCATACTAGATTATTCTGATTCTGATTCCTCCCTGCTTTTGGAGAATCCCAGTATAGTTGTGAGTCTTCCCCTTCAGTGAGTTGTCCTTCCCCAGGTTGCAATGTGACTGGCAGGGGAACCGACTTTTCTGTGGTCTTAGCATTTAGAGCAGGCATGGGCAAACTTTGGTCCTGCAGGTGTTTTGGACTTCAACTCCTACAATTCCTAACAGTCTGTCAGCTGTTAGGAATTGTAGGAGTTGAAGTCCAAAACACCTGCAGGACCAAAGTTTGCCCATGCCTGATTTAGAGCCTCTGGTTGAGGCAGAATAGCTGCACTTAGCAGTAATTATAACTGTGTCACATTCTTAATTTCAGCCTGAGAAGATGATGGCCAAACAGATGGAGTTCCTTTGTACCCAAGCTGGCTTGGAGAGGCGGCTTTCCACAGGTCTTTACAGGCAAAACTCAGAGGAACACAGTCCCAATGGCTTGGCTTTGGATCACGCGGACGGGCAAGGTGCAGTAGTTCCCATTTATGATGCTGATCCAGTAGTGCTGCTTGCTAAATCATAACAAAGCCTGAAATTTGCTGTGGGAAAATGAGAGTCTCATTGGGGAGAAATAAGAGATGGCTGGCCGGTGTTCAAACCATGTAGCTCTTCTGTGATAAGGAACGGGTTCACTAAAACCTGTGCTGTGATCTGCTTTGAAATATACCTTAGTGCTATGGTAAATTTTATCATCTGTCATTTTTGCCACTTTGAAGGGGAGTGTGTGCATGCTCCCACATTCCCATGTGATTTTGGTATTTTACTAGTATTTTACCAGGCATTTGGGTCCAGTGGCCTGGGATTAATGATGCCATGTTAGTGGGATACCTCATGCATCTCAGGAATGTGAGAGCATAGAAAGAGGAGAGGTGGCTCAAGTACCTTTTAAGATGTTGTTTGAACTGGAGAGCATATTGTTGTGTGTGTGTGAGAGAGGGGGGGATAAATAATATTGTGTTTTCATATGACTGCAGGTGGTAGTGCTGAATTAATAGAATATCTGTGCTAATTTCTTTTAGGTGAAAGGCCTTTGAATCTCCGTATGTCAGGTCTACCAAATAGACATCTGCCACACATTTCATTAGATGGAGAGCCTCACGTAGTGAAGCCTCTTTGCAGTGAGTTGAGTCGACTGTATGCCAGTGGTGAGGCAAAGTCACAATCATCGGGTAAGGATTTCTTTCTTTCTTCATATACTGTGTTTCAGTTCTAAGGTGCACTTTATTTTCATATAAACATCTTTAAAAATGGGATGCATCTTTTTTCTGTTGGTGGTACTGAAATGTGTGTGTGTCTTGCAATTGATGGCATCTTAGAATCGATGAAATACGGTAGTAAACATAAACTGGCTCAAGGAACTGGGAGAAACCTCTAAGTGGAGACCTTGTGCTAGTTAGTGTCAAAGAGGATGGAAAAGGAAATCTCTCCTTACCATCATGTGTGGTGTTTCTGCACCTAATGAAATTTCAGACTTGCTTCATATATTAATTAGAAGTTTAATTTGTACACACTGAAATCACTTCAGCATGATCAGATCCCATGTCACAACAGAAATATATGCAGGCACCAATCAGATAAGGCAACTGGATGGTGAGACTGGTCCTACATTGGTATCAGTGGCCTGAATCCTAGTCTCTAGTCAAAGGGGGAGGCAATATATATAGATAAATCCATTTGACTCAGTGGGTCTCCTGTGACACTTTGCAGGGAGACTGCAGGTTAAATCTGACAAGATTTATCTCTCATGGTTTTCCAACCAGAATGCTTGTTGGGATTGAACACCACTGATAGTTCTAGTATAACCAATAAGGATGCATCCCCTCATCCATTTCCTTTTCCTATCATCATCTACTAAGGTGACCCAAACTGTCTCTATTATAACTTTCCCAAGCTTTGAGAAGTATCCATATCCTTTAGTCTGTTAAAGTGTGACTCTGATTACAGAGAAACATTTCCGTTTCTTTCGTCTAAGTGCGTGATCAAGTCAAGGCATATATTTTATTGGTATTTAGTCAAACATGTGTCTTGAGTGCCTGAAAAGTCGCTCAAAACCCCATATCTTATTAAGTGGTGTTTTTTTTTTTTCAGTTGCTCAATACAGGCAGTCCCTAAATTATGAACAAGATAGGTTCTGTAGGTGTGTTCTTAAGTTGATTTTTTATGTAAGTTGGAACAGGTACAATTTTGAAATATACCTCTACCAAAAAAGGCTTTGGATAGCACAGGGAAGGGTTAACACCCCTGTTGTGTTAGTTTTGCTGTCTGTGCCCCCTTTCAAAAGGTTTTGCCTCACTTTCTGTCCCAGTGATAATTGGATTTGAAAATTTGGTTTGTTGTGGACACAAGGAATGGTGCTCAAGCTTCAGTTGAGACACCTTTTCCCCATGAAAACACTTTCAGGAGCGAATTTCTCTGCCTAGACAAACAACTTCCTGTTGTTTCACTCCCATTCTAACTAGGAGTTGTATGTAAATCAGGTGCTTGTAACTTGGGGACTGCCTATATGTGTTTTTTATTGTATGCATGCATATGCAGGTGGATTCTTATACGTGCCCAGAACTATTATTATTTAAAATCAAGCCTACATCCACTGAACATAAGGGTAGGCAACAGCATGGGGGCCAATGGCCAATTCCACCCCAGCCCAGACCTTACTGTAGACTGCATACACACGAACATACAGCATACCTCACTTTTCTTTACAGAGCTTCTCAAAATAGCAACAGCAAATGAAGGTGTGTCTCTGCTACCTTTTTTAGAGGGACTGCAGAGAAAAAATGAGATATTTCCTCTGAAACCCATCACGAAAAAAACTGCAGAACGTACATGTGCCTGATGCCATTTAAAAGGGACTGTAGAAAAAAATGATGTATTTGGGGGCTGTCCGGGGGTTGTGGAGTAGGGTGAGGGTACTTTGCACTTTTTCATGCATTAGGGTGATTTTGAGACACTAATTGTCCCAAACTCATACTAGTTTTTTTAAGGGGACCAAAAATGGATTGGGAATGAAACTATTAAGATTAGTCTCAATTTGGTTCAGTACATTTATTTAAAAAATAATTCTTGTTTTTGCTGTTGTTACAGAAGGCCTGGGTATCATGAAAGATTTTCCTCATTCAGCTTTCAGCAACCTCGAAAGAAAGGTCATAAAGACAGAGCCAGAAGACCCAAGATAGCCATGTGTTTTTAAAAAAAATTATTTCAGCTACAAACAAGAAACAAAACTAGCCTTAATAACCGGTGTTGCCTCATAAGTGATTTCATAGCCAAAGCCTAAGAACTGGGACAGTCATATTGAGGAACTGACATAAAAAAAGAAAACCCAACCTCTTGGACATTGAAACTGTGGTGCAAAGTGGGTACAAACTCTATGAAGAAAGTGGCTTCATAATATGAGAAAGGTTCACAAACTAATATTGTGAGCCCTTGTTATTTAAGAATGTATTGTGTATTTGTATAACTTAAAAGTTAAAAACCTAGGTGTTAGAATGTGTATTAAGTCCAGTAGATGTGGCTGCCATTATTTTTACTTGAAATTTTAATGTCTACTTTAAATGTAGATATAGTAGATATGTGTGTGGGTTTGGGTTTTTTAAACCCTTTGTGTGGGGCAGGGGGGTGGGCAGAATGTGGGAATGGGAGGAAGAAGCCTGGTATAACATTACTTTAACAACGGTTTTGCAATGTTTCTTTTTATAAAAAGCAGAAAATAAGCAATTCCATAAATGTTATAGTGATATAGCATTTAAAAGAGCTGACTGTATTATAACAGGCATTTTAGTGCTTCTTGATGTTGAGTCAGTCTCAGAGACTTCATGAACATTCATTTGCAATGTATTTATTTACACTGTATTTTTTGTCCACTGTTTAAAGACTTGAGGAGGGAAGAAAAAGAAACACATGATTGGTTCATACTCTGTGCTCTGCTCCCATCGTAAAGGATTTGTGATTGATGCTTCCAGAGAAACAGCCAAAATGTTGGCAAAGTTTTTGGAAAGTTGCTTAATTTTTTTTGTTCAGTTGGAAGGCTTCAGATAACAGAAGAGATGGAAAAGCAATGCAAGAAACGTAGACACTCTGAAATAACCAGCGAATTCATATTTAAAAAAGGAATGGGGGATGAATATTCTACTGGTACATGAGTAGGTAAACAGCTGCTTTAGCAGCCTGCTGGACTATTTGTAAACCATACGCTGCCTATACTGTGGACTGATAACATTTCCTTTTGATCCAGTGTACCCACGTCTTATTCTGTGGAGGATATCTTTTGTGTGGGTGGTTTGTTTCTCAAAAGTGCCACACTTTGCCTATAATGTAATGCTTGACTTATAAGAGTCATCTTGGTTATTCACCTCTGGGGTATTTTGGTGTTGTGTCCGTTGTGCATAATACCATTGTGATATGTCACCTTAAGTAGCAGCTCTTTCTCCTCAGCATTACTTAAGATTGTGTGGCAGTTAATCAGGGTTTCAGCACCTTAGTCCAATCTCCAGATGTGTTGAGCTACAGTTGCCATTATTTCAACTTGGGGGTGATAGGAGCTTCAATGCAATTCAACGGGGGGTGCCAAACTGTGGAAAGTTGTTGAGTTTATAAAAATGCCGAATTTATTTAGGAGCAGTGTTTTTTTAAGCTACTCAATGAGGTGGAACATCAATTTTTCCCCAATGTGCAACTGACCAGTACAATATTGTGGCATTTTTTTTATCGTATTCATGTAGTTTCGTGGAACCATAGTCAGTGGTTCATTGGCTGCCACTGGTCTACAGATGGCTACTTTAAGCCTTAGAGTCCTTCCAGAGAGGAGCAAATGGGTAATGAAACAGCTGCCAAATCTTACTGGCCTCCTGCTATGTCAGACATGGGCAAACTTGGGCCCTCCAAGTATTTTGGACTTTAACTCCCAAAATTCCTAACAGGAATTGTGGGAGTTGAAGTCCAAAATACCTGGAGGGCCCAAATTTGCCCATGCCTGTGCTATTTGGTCATTGTCTTCACATCTGTGTAGATGTGAGCTGTGTGTGAATCATTTTGCACCCCTGAAACTGTCCAGGTAATGTCTGATGCCATGTAGATACGTGAGTCGCGGTTCACTATAATATGTGTTTAATAACTGTATTACTTGATTTATGGAGTCACACTGACTACTAGAATCACCAGTGCACACATTTTTAAAATCATGTAAGGGAAAATGTTTTCTGTTAAAGAAAGTTTAACTGAGTTGCGGTCAAATGTGTTCAGATGAATTCTGCAACTCAGTGGATCGGAAGAAGAAGAAAAAATGTTCAATTTAAAGTGGCTCATTTTACTGTTTTGTGACTTTGCAGCCCAAGCGTGTGTGCCCTTGTTCCCAAAGGTTGCAAATAGTACTGCCTCAAATCTGAGGAGTTTCACATGATAAGACAGCCATTACAGGCAAAGAAAGCACATGTTGCTATCCGTAGCACAGAACATCTTGGTCTAATAAAGTCCACTGTAACGTAGTGTACATTTAAATCAGTAGTACAGATTTATTTTTTATATTTTCACTTGTATATGACCTGACTCAGCTGTGTTGTAAGTAGGTTTTCAAAGTGTTGTTTGTTTGTTTTAACAGTCCAGCAGACCATTTCAGGGCCAATAAATAGGCTTTTTGTTTTATTCTTAATTTTTTAAAAAAACATTTGTAGAATGTCTTACACGACTTTTTAATTTTTATCAAAGTAAGCTGAAGTAGCTAAAAATACTCTTTAAGTCTTTTCTAATAAACTTTCCTTCGGTCCCTTCTACACTGTCCTTATATCCCAGGATCTGATCCCAGATTATCTGGCAGTGGAGATTCATATAATCCAGTTCAAAACAGGTAACCTGGGATCAGATCCTGGGATACATGAAGAGTGTAGAAGGGGACTTTACAAGATGTACCTTATTGTTGACAGAACAGCTAGCACAAACATGCAAACGGCTGTTAAAGAAGTGTCCTTCGCCCAAGTAGGTCACTTCAGAAAACATAGTGAAAACACATTTGAAATTCCTCTTCCTTCAGTTTTCCTCAGGAACACATCACTTCCAGTCTTGTAACTTAGACTTATCTCCAGTTTATTTATCTTCACCAATACAGGGAGAGTTTGATGTGGGATTATCTATGTAACCCTCACTGCCCTTCTGCGGAGAGCAGTTGTGTTGTGTTGAGTGATATCACACACGCAGTTGAATAGACTCCAAAAGCCATGGCTTTTCAAATCCACAAATCCTGCTTACCTTTCAGTCTTAAAAGATAGACTGCTTTTTAATGCTAATCACTGAAATGTTATGGTTACAGCACTGTGCTGAAAATTCATTCCATGTTTTTGACCATTGTTTTTGATAGAGGAGAATTTTCTTTGGGGGAAAAATTGCAGAGGAAAGGGAAAAGAAATCTCATTTGGAGAAATTCTCATGGGTAGCCTTCAGGATATCACACCTGGGAAGGAGGGGCAAGAACGTGTGTGAATGTCCTATTTTTTTTTTTATTGTACTGTCCTCTCCCTAGCAGCATCCCACACTCCAGTTCAGGCCCAGGGGAAGATCTCATCCTTCAGAAAGTCCCGTGGGCAGCCAGGGAAACAGCCGAGTGCTAAAGAAACATGCCAGAGAAAGAAAAGCACACAGGGCACCACCATTAACCACACCATAGAAATAGACAAGCACTGTACAGGATTCTTGCTGCCATATATATAGGGCAGAGATGGACAACTGTGCAGAGGCCATGGACGATGGTTTTCTCCCCAGAACCATCCCTGCAGTCCACAACCCCCATGCCAAAGGGCTTCAGTTTATTTTCTTGACACTTCCTGTCACTGTTTTGAGAAAGACTAGAACAGTGGTTCTCAGCCTGGGGTCCCCAGATGTTTTTGGCCTTCAATTCCCAGAAACCCTAACAGCTGGTACACTGGCTGGGATTTCTGGGAGTTTTAGGCCAAAAACATCTGGGGACCCCAGGTTGAGAACCACTGGACTAGAATAAAATCAGATATTTAGGATGGAGTCCTTTTAAGCATTTGTGGATGTTTACAGCTCTGTAGTGCGGGCTTGAGGTGAAAATTGCACTTAAAAAATCAGGGTCGAGGGGGTTGTAGAGATTGGTTGGTGTCTTCAGGAACTACATGTGGCTTGCAGGCAGAACTTTGGCCATACCTGATTGAAGGACTTTCATCTCCATCATCCACATGAATCTCTAGAGCAATACTGTGTGGGGCACTGTGAAGGGTACAAAGTAGTGGCAGCAACCCAGGAAAATGCTTTGCAAAAAAGAAAAGGGAGGCTCCACTATAGCTGCTGCTAATAGTGAATGTCACCTATGAGGCCTTGTTGGAGAATTTCTATTATTTCACCCGTCTGCTCCACAGAAATTAATGAAACAATCTTCACCCTTTCCACCCAATTATCTTCCCACAAAGAGAGTGATTGTTTATGCACAGCTGTGTTGTCAATAAAACAAAATGTCTGGTCAATGGCCTTTTCTTTTCTGGAGGAGGTGGTAATCATCAGGCTAAATGTTAGCTGCAACAGGGTTATTTTGACCAAAGTGTGAGCCTCGTCTGTCTCTGTCCGTATTTGTATTCTTGTCCGTCTGCATTTGTGTGCCTTGATGTTACAAAATAAAAGTCATCTTTGGCAAAGATTTTTCCCCACCATGCTTTCTTTTAAAATAAACAAAAAACAAGAGAAGTCCATCCCGTCATAGAAACAGCCAGATTTGTTTAATCGAATACCATTTTGGGGAAGACTGCTCAATTCTGTGACTTTTAAGATTGCTAAGAATGACACATTTGGCAGTCATGGGTTCCCATGTCAGCTTTGACATGTCTCTCAGTATTACCTGCTGTTTTAGACATATTGAACTACTATCACAAGGCAGGAACATATCCTTTTTACTTGGTCTCTGCATTGAGTCTGAAGATTGTAAAAGTAAAGTCTTCTATAATTTTTGTTTGAATGTGTGTCCATCAAGAATTTGAGCATCCTTTATCCAGAATTCCAAAATATTCCAAAACCCAAGATTGTCCACATGGCTGTCTGAGAGAGTTGCTACTATGAGACTACTGTCCACTAATCTTTTGCGGGCAGATTTTTAATTTATGAATATACCAATTTGAGGAATAATAGGGTGTAGTATTTGTAACCTACGGATGTGAGAGCTGGACCTTAGGGAAGGCTGAGCGAAGGAAGATAGATGCTTTTGAACTGTGGTGCTGGAGGAAAGTTCTGAGAGTGCCTTGGACTGCGAGAAGATCCAACCAGTCCATCCTCCAGGAAATAAAGCCCGACTGCTCACTGGAGGGAAGGATACTAGAGACAAAGTTGAAGTACTTTGGCCACATCATGAGGAGACAGGAAAGCCTAGAGAAGACAATTATGCTGGGGAAAGTGGAAGGCAAAAGGAAGAGGGGCCGACCAAGGGCAAGATGGATGGATGGCATCCTTGACGTGACTGGACTGACCTTGAAGGAGCTGGGGGTGGTGACGGCCGACAGGGAGCTCTGGCGTGGGCTGGTCCATGAGGTCACGAAGAGTCGGAGACGACTGAACGAATGAACAACAAGAAGGGTGTAGTATGTGACTAGCTTAACTCTGAAGGAGCTGGGGGTGGTGACGGCTGACGAGCTCTGGCAAGGGCTGGTCCATGAGGTCACAAAGAGTCAGAAGCAACTGAACAAATAAACAACATTGTGTTTGTGGTGGGAGCCTCTTTCCCAAATAGTGTTCTGCATAATCAGCATAGTCCCAGTAAAATGAATTTTAAATCCAAGAAAACAAAAGTACATCCCAGCGCACAGCGGAAACCCTTCTTATTCATTCCTCTTCAGTGAATATATATTGCACTGCTGTAAATTACCATTCAGTTTTATTTACATCCAACAGTGATTCCATAACAGATTTCCTTAAATCAGATTCATAGGACTTTATCGCACAAACTCACTATTCCACTTTACTTGCACTATCATTGATAACAGATACTGGGTTGAGTACCTTTGATAGCATACCTCTTAAGTTGTGCAATGCATGGCTATTAAACAACTATAGTGTTCAGAGAGCGAAATATTTGCCTTTAGTTTTTAAAAGTCGTGGCAATGGGAGACGGCACAATCTTCTGTCATCCCATACATAAAGCAGTATTGTATGTGTCCACCTTATGGAGAGTCAAACCTACCATTAGGCAGAGTGAATGGTTGCCTCAAGCCGCAGATACTATTAAGTGCCAGCGAAGTGTGGTTTAAGCTGTGTGCCAGACAACCTGTAGTTAACTCCCTAGGCTAGCTGACTTGCTTTTAGATACAAGGAAAATGTGGTCCCACTTGCTACTGCTGAGAAAGATTCAGCAGACAGTCCAAGTGTCTTGAAGAGAGGGCACCTTAGGTTTCATCTCAGGCAACTTTTGGAATTATTTGATTTAGTACAACAGAAATATGTAAAGTACTAACAGCCATTAACAAAAAAATATGTTTCTGAGTGTATTCATATTTATGTTTTCAGTGTAAATTAAAAATGCCATTAGCTGTCCAAACCTTTTTTCTTTTGATGTTGCACGGAAAAAGACACTGAAGTCGTCAGACTCACATGCTAGGCTGTGGAAAGAGGTGAATGAGAGTCACCCAAAGGAACATCAACTTGCATTAGCTCTGCAAATATTTACGAAAGGACAAACAAGGGACACTCATAACAAATAGAGGAGAAAGTGTTTTAGGGCATAGCAATGTGCTTTATTATATTTACAATGGTTGAAATCCTCTTGGGGACTGGTATGTGTGTAAACAGCATAGTTATGGCACTTTGCAGTGATTCCTATCCCAAACGCATAAAATTGTCCCGTACAGTAGCTACAGCAATTAATGGTATGTTACCTTGTTGCTTGGGAAGCTACGGGTGGATGTTCCCACCTTTTCTGTGTGAGCAATCTTGGATGTAACATGCAGAAGCCAGACCCCTGTCACATTTCCCTCTTGCCCGGAGATCATTTTGGCAAAAGTTGGGTGAGCTATCAGCCAACTGCTACCTGATTAACGGGAACAAAGCCCCGTCGCTTGCTGTGGTTGCTTCCCAGTAAATGGAGTTTGAGGGACTTGAATGGTTCCTACTTAGCTCACAAACCAGGAGTTATATAGGGAACATGGATGTGCAATAATCACAACTGCATAACTTTAAGGGTACATCTACACTGTATAATTAATACAGTTTGGTGCCACTTAAACTGTCAGGGCTCTTTGAGCAAGTCACACTCTCAGCCTCAAAGGGAGGCAAAGCATTCCCACCCCACCTCCACCCCCACACACAAATACTGCAAAGAAAATCCCATGATAGATTCGATATAGGATTACCAAATGTTGGAACTGACTTGACGCACAGCAACAAGGAAGTTGGGACTATGCTAATACAATATCCAGTTCTTCCTGCATTTAGCAATTAAGTCAAAAGGCTAGATTTCTTTCTTTTTTTGAAAAAAAAAACCCTACATCCTACCTCCTTCCTCTAATTTTTTTTTATGTTTCCAACATACAGCCCATAACAATAGATCCAAATGCTAGCCTGAGTTAATGAAAACTGTAATCAAACACTTGATTGGTATAATTGAAGTTGTTGACCCTCTGGCACAGATATGATTACATTTTAATTGTAATTGCTTGGTTTATATCATGCTCTTGGCTAGCATTATGTTTATAATCTACTGATAAAAGGTTCATCAAAAACTAGAGAGACAAACCTTTGAAAATAGCGATATCCTTTAGGAACCAAACACATAATGCATACACATCAGCCACATTTTTCCCCATTCTGCACTGGTGTTAGAAAATACCGCTCTTAGACTGAGTCAGAGGGAGCTTTTACATTGTAGAATTAATGCAGTTTGAGACCACTTTAACTGCCACAGCTCACTGCTATGGAATCCCTATGCCTCGCAATCCCATGTTTGTATGTATGTATGTATGTATGTATGTATGTATGTATGTATGTCTGTGTGTCTGTGTGTGTGTGTGTGTGTGTGTCTTTCTGTCAGAAGAATTAAATACCTTTTATTGACCCACCCCCACACCTTCTGACAGTTCTTTGTAGCTTCTTATACCACTATGGAACACGAGTTTTTGCTCCCAGGTTATAAATGTCCTTTCCCAATTGGTTCTACCATAAAAATATATTTTAAAAAAGAACCTAATTGGTTCTACCACATCATGGGAAAAGTTTATTAAACTGCAAAAACTTTGTTTTTTCATGACATCCTGCAGCATATTTTGCATAGTTTTTCAATGACTATCTCCCTCTTTGGAGGTTGAGAAGACCGGGTTATAAAAGCTCTAAATAATAATAATAATAAATATCTCACAGAGTCTCAATCAATGCAACATAGTTTGTAGCAGCCACAAAAACATAGTTTCTGGAGTAGAACAACTACTTTCAAAGTAAGTACTGCACAATTAAACAGAAAATAACACTTTCAAACTAGGATCAGAACATTTTTGTTTTTTTTTACCTAGGGTAATTAACTTTTGCTTGATTTTTATGTGGATCCTACTTCACATAGCTACACATATATATTCAATAAAGCTTTCCTCAAAGATGGATGGACATCTTTTTCACGGGCCCAACAAAATCATTTTGGAAGAATTTTTCAATTGATTTCTAAAAGATTCAAAATATACTCATTTACTTCTGCAAGTCTTATCAGATCGGCTTGTTTAATCTTACATGTGAATAATCCTTGCTTTGAATAAAAAGTTGGCTGAAAAAACAACAGAAACAACACAAAATTCTACCTCTGGTGCCCAGATTCTATTAAGAAATAGAGCCCAGGAATGTTGGCGGGCAGGGAAGGAGATTTAAAGATGGGCTCAAAGCCAAACTTAAAAACTCTGGCATAGACACTGAGAACTGGGAAGCCCTGGCCTGTGAGTGCTCCAGCTGGAGGTCAGCTGTGGCCAGCAGTGCTGCAGAATTTGAAGAGCCATAAATGGAAGGCGAAAGAGAAACATGCAAAGAGGAAGGCGCATCAAGTCAACCCCGACCAGGACTGCCTGCCACCTGGAAACCAATGCCCTCACTGGAGGAGACGATGCAGATCAAGAATAGGGCTCCACAGTCACCTACGGACCCACCCTGGAGGATTATCCTACTTGGACAACAAGGGATCGCCTAAGTAAATAAGAGCCCAGGAACACATCTCATTCCTATTCTGAGATACACTTGTATTGTAAAAACTGGCCTATTGTTGCCTTGTGAAATTGGGTTTCAAACTCTTGCACTTGTTATGATTTTGCAACAAATGACCATTTCAGAAGCTGCTGCTTATCACCCAAGTATCACCTGCTGAAATTCCCTCTGTTTCATAACCAGGAAAGGTTTAGGAACCTTGTTTTGTTTTCCCTCTGGCAACCCTATTTCTGAACCCATCAACACTTTGAAAATCAGTGCATGAAGAATTGTTTCCCTAGCAGCCATTAAGTTCAGATGTGGGGAGATAAGCTCCTTTAAATGTATCACTCTTATTAATCAAGCCTACTCTGTGCATTTTGGAATGAATTAACGGAGGCATGCCTTGTCTCTCATTTCAAATTAAGCACAACTGCCACAATATGTTCTATTTTGTCAGCGAGATGATGCCTGAAGAGCAGGGAGGAGAGACAGAAGA